AGGTAAGAAAGAGAAGCGCTCTAAGCGAACGAAACAGCTTGCGAAAGGCGGAAAAAAAACACGGAACTAAAAAAAAAACAAAAACAAAAACTTTTTTTTTTTTTTGCACAGCGCAGTTTGGATTTTGGGTTCGCGCGCCGCCGCGCGCAAGTAGGTAAGAAAGAGAAGCGCTCTAAGCGAACGAAACAGCTTGCGAAAGGCGGAAAAAAAAACACGGAACTAAAAAGAAACAAAAACCTTTTTTTTTTTTTTTTTGCACAGCGCAGTTTTGATTTTGGGTTCGCGCGCCGCCGCGCGCAAGGAGGTAAGAACGAGAAGCGCTCTAAGCGAACGAAACAGCTTGCGAAAGGCGGAAAAAAACACGGAACTAAAAAAAAAACAAAAACAAAAACCTTTTTTTTTTTTTTTTTTTTTTTTTGCACAGCGCAGTTTGGGTTTTGGGTTCGCGCGCCGCCGCGCGCAAGGAGGTAAGAAAGAGAAGCGCTCTAAGCGAACGAAACAGCTTGCGAAAGGCGGAAAAAAAAACACGGAACTAAAAAAAAAAAAAAAAAACCTTTTTTTTTTTTTTTTTGCACAGCGCAGTTTGGATTTTGGGTTCGCGCGCCGCCGCGCGCAAGGAGGTAAGAAAGAGAAGCGCTCTAAGCGAACGAAACAGCTTGCGAAAGGCGAAAAAAAAAACACGGAACTAAAAGAAAAACAAAAACAAAAACCTTTTTTTTTTTTTTTTTTTTTTGCACAGCGCAGTTTGGATTTTGGGTTCGCGCGCCGCCGCGCGCAAGGAGGTAAGAAAGAGAAGCGCTCTAAGCGAACGAAACAGCTTGCGAAAGGCGGAAAAAAAACATGAAACTAAAAAAAAACAAAAACCTTTTTTTTTTTTTTTTTTTTGCACAGCGCAGTTTGGATTTTGGGTTCGCGCGCCGCCGCGCGCAAGGAGGTAAGAAAGAGAAGCGCTCTAAGCGAACGAAACAGCTTGCGAAAGGCGGAAAAAAAACACGGAACTAAAAAAAAAACAAAAACCTTTTTTTTTTTTTTTTTTTTTTTTTTGCACAGCGCAGTTTGGATTTTGGGTTCGCGCGCCGCCGCGCGCAAGGAGGTAAGAAAGAGAAGCGCTCTAAGCGAACGAAACAGCTTGCGAAAGGCGAAAAAAAAACACGGAACTAAAAAAAAACAAAAACCTTTTTTTTTTTTTTTTTTTTGCACAGCGCAGTTTGGATTTTGGGTTCGCGCGCCGCCGCGCACAAGGAGGTAAGAAAGAGAAGCGCTCTAAGCGAACGAAACAGCTTGCGAAAGGCGGAAAAAAAAACACGGAACTAAAAAAAAAACAAAAATAAACCTTTTTTTTTGTTTTTTTTTTTGCACAGCGCAGTTTGGATTTTGGGTTCGCGCGCCGCCGCGCGCAAGGAGGTAAGAAAGAGAAGCGCTCTAAGCGAACGAAACAGCTTGCGAAAGGCGGAAAAAAAACACGGAACAAAAAAAAAAAAAAAAAAAAAAAAACCTTTTTTTTTTTTTTTTTTTTTTTTTTTGCACAGCGCAGTTTGGATTTTGGGTTCGCGCGCCGCCGCGCGCAAGGAGGTAAGAAAGAGAAGCGCTCTAAGCGAACGAAACAGCTTGCGAAAGGCGGAAAAAAAACACGGAACTAAAAAAAACAAAAACCTTTTTTTTTTTTTTTTTTTTTTGCATAGCGCAGTTTGGATTTTGGGTTCGCGCGCCGCCGCGCGCAAGGAGGTAAGAAAGAGAAGCGCTCTAAGCGAACGAAACAGCTTGCGAAAGGCGGAAAAAAAACACGGAACTAAAAAAAAAACAAAAACAAAAACCTTTTTTTTTTTGCACAGCGCAGTTTGGATTTTGGGTTCGCGCGCCGCCGCGCGCAAGGAGGTAAGAAAGAGAAGCGCTCTAAGCGAACGAAACAGCTTGCGAAAGGCGGAAAAAAAACACAAAACTAAAAAAAAACAAAAACCTTTTTTTTTTTTTTTTTTTTTTGCACAGCGCAGTTTGGATTTTGGGTTCGCGCGCCGCCGCGCGCAAGGAGGTAAGAAAGAGAAGCGCTCTAAGCGAACGAAACAGCTTGCGAAAGGCGAAAAAAAAACACGAACCTAAAAAAAAAAAAAAAACCTTTTTTTTTTTTTTTTTTTTTGCACTGCGTAGTTTGGTTACGGGAGGTCGCGCGCCGCGCGCAAGGATGTAAGAAAGAGGAGCGGAGAAGCCCTCTAAGCAAACGAAACAGCTTGCGAAAGGCGGCAAAAAGAAAAAAAAAAAAGACCCACGGAACTAAAAAAAAAATAAGAGTTTTTTTTTTTTTTTTCTTTTTGCACAGGGCAGTTTGGTTACAGGGGGGATATATGAAAGATAAGCGGAGAGCCCTCGCCTAAGCAAACAAAACAGCTTGCAAAAAACGACAAAAAAAAAATTTTTTTTTTTTTTGCACAGTTTAGTTATGTTATGGGGTCGGGCGCCGCGCGCTAAAGGCCCGTCCACACTCTTGCGACCGAGTACGACTGAGAGAGACGAGATCTCTTAAGGCCCGTTCACACTCTTGCGACCGAGTACGACTGAGAGAGACGAGATCTCTTACAACTTCTTAAATGTTTCTAGAATGAGGGAACACACTGACATTGTGGCGCCATCTATGCGGTGACCCTAGAACTGCATTTCACAAAAGCGAAGGTTTTGCGGGATTTCCGAGGTCAAATGTGCGTAATACCCATAGAAATGCTCGTTTATAACATTGACAAAATCTTTTCGAGCCAAAAAAGAAAGGATATTGCGCGAGAAATAAAAAAAAATATGCCGGACCGCCGAGTTTACACTGCTTCCCAATAGATGGCGCCAGTGTGTTCTCTGGTTTAAGAAGTTTTAAGGAACCCAGGTTTAAGAGGTCGCAAGCAGTCGCAAGAGTGTGAACGGGCCTTTACAGCTTCTTAAATGTTTCTAGAATGAGGGAACACACTGACATTGTGGCGCCATCTATGCGGTGACCCTAGAACTGCATTTCACAAAAGCGAAGGTTTTGCGGGATTTCCGAGGTCAAATGTGCGTAATACCCATAGAAAGGCTCGTTTATAACATTGACAAAAGTTTTTCGAGCCAAAAAAGAAAGGATATTGCGCGAGAAATAAAAAAAAATATGCCGGACCGCCGAGTTTACACTGCTTCCCAATAGATGGCGCCAGTGTGTTTTCTGGTTTAAGAAGTTTTAAGGAACCCAGGTTTAAGAGGTCGCAAGCAGTCGCAAGAGTGTGAACGGGCCTTTACAGCTTCTTAAATGTTTCTAGAATGAGGGAACACACTGACATTGTGGCGCCATCTATGCGGTGACCCTAGAACTGCATTTCACAAAAGCGAAGGTTTTGCGGGATTTCCGAGGTCAAATGTGCGTAATACCCATAGAAAGGCTCGTTTATAACATTGACAAAAGTTTTTCGAGCCAAAAAAGAAAGGATATTGCGCGAGAAATAAAAAAAAATATGCCGGACCGCCGAGTTTACACTGCTTCCCAATAGATGGCGCCAGTGTGTTTTCTGGTTTAAGAAGTTTTAAGGAACCCAGGTTTAAGAGGTCGCAAGCAGTCGCAAGAGTGTGAACGGGCCTTAAGAGATAAGAAGTTACTTCGATTTTTCAGGATAAAAGGTCCGTTCATTATGCGAGTAAATACGAACTAATTACGGACGCAAAAATTTTACTTCGCGTGATGAACGCCCCTCCCAACTTTGCATCGATTTTTCGGAAAAAAAAGTGTGTTCATTCTGCGAGTAAATACGGTATTAAGCATGGCTATATTCCGAATCAACTCTAATGGATTACATGGCAGCACAAATAGAGCAACGCTGTGAAGCAAGGATGGTTTTCAAAGGCTAGACAACAAGACGGCGAGATTGAAAATCTTTGAGGCGTGGCCCATATGGTCGAGTGCAATCAGTTAACCAATCACAATAAGGCGAGCCGCACTCAAACTTGATGTCACATGCAATTGTTAATAATGAGCCAGACCACTGATCAATGATGAGGAGCTCTGTGTGCGGTGTGCTGCGTGCACTAACAACTTAAAAAAGAAAACCCCCCCCCCCCTCTCGTCTGATAGTCGTCAGATTAAAGTAAAACGCTGCTCCAGAGGCACACACGGCTTCAAGCACATTACACTCGCAAAACACATCAACACGGCGTCGAATCTTGATCAGCATCCAGGCATGAAAAAATGCACAGAGATGCGGCACTTCGGCATGCCAAAGCTCACGCCGCGAGAACGCGTTAAAGCGCAGAACTTGCTTTCGACAAGTTCTGCGCTTTAACGGTGGCACTGCGCTCTCGTAAAATTTTCCACGTCTTCTAAAGAGCAAGTCTTAATGCTTACACGAAGTCTTAAAAGACTTCTTGGCGCATGACGACGAACAAGTAGGAAACGTGTCTTCAGCACACTGCCACCAGCCTCTGCCATGCTACCAAACCCGCAAATCGTCTACGAGCAAGATGGCCGTCCGGTGGCTCCACTCGCGCTGCAGCGACAAAGCGGGGAAGCACGATCCAGCAATTGTCATAGAGATCAGTGGGAAAAACCATGCAAGACCGGATAGAAGATTGATGTAGGGTACTTTGTGTTGGGCGGCCGCTTGCGCCACCTAGCTTACGTGGTGCAAGCGGCCGCCTGACACAAAGTACCCTGCATGAATCGTCTATCTGGTCTTGCATGGTTTTTCTTACATGTGCTTATGCTTAGCTTATGTATGCTCAATTACAGCACTTAGTTTAGTTTCGGTTTTGAAAGGCTACCAAAATTGGTCCTTTGGCACGGGCTTGGCGCAGATTACCCATATTTTGGCAAAATGTAGCAGGATGTAGCAGGGTTAGCCCCTTGGCGCATTTTGGCGGAATTTGCACAGAAATCACATCACTGACACTACAGCAGAAAGCCACAAATTCTTCTTTTTAAGAGGAACTTTCGCAATAATGGCAGTTTTCAAATCCCAGGAAGAAGGTGTGTCCCAAACGGGGCGGAGAACAATTACCCGCTGCAGTCTGGGCGGGGGCGGAGCCGCCCTCTGCTGCAGAGGCATCCCCTGGAACGGCTGGGACATCGCCGGGAACGGGTGACCGCTGAGCTGCACTGGCTGCTGGTGTTGATGCTGCTGTTGCTGGGGGGGCGGTGGCTGCTGCTGCTGCAGGGGGGGGCTGCCAAAGTGTGGGGGACTCCCGAATGGTACGGGAGGCGGAGGCCGGTGTTGCTGCTGCTGTTGTTGGTGCTGCTGCTGCTGCCCGCCGCCTGCACATTACCCGGCCGAAAGCACAGGTAAGGATTCGTGGTGCATGGGACACGTCTCCAGCTTGCCCGTTTGCCGCCTACCCCTAAAAAAAGCGGTCGTTCGACGTCCGACTGACGACGTCGCAGAAAAGTCGCGTATCCGCCCGTCACGATCTCGGCAGTGTCGCAGCGGCGAAGGAGGACGCGCCAAACAACCATTCTGCTGCAGGTTTCTCTTCGGTTGACAGTCCGTGAAAGCTGCGGAAGAGTACCCGGTGCTTCCCCGTTACGGAGCTAAACTGCACGATGGTACGGCACCTGGGGTGCCTCTCCGATTGGTGCGTTTACCGCGTCGTAAAATGCTTTCCCTCAGTTTTCACTCGACGACGTCGCAAAGCGTTGCGAAATTGCCCGTTATAATCCTGGCAGCGGCAGAGCGGTGTGGGTGGACGCGGCAGACGTCTGTTCCGTCGCGATGTGCTCTCGGCTCGACGGTCTGCGGAATCGTCCTCCACAGCGAGGAATCGGGATGCCGCGACGATGATGTCATATTTTTCGTCGAGGTTTCTACAACTGACTGCCAGGATTGCGACCTCCGACAGCTTAACGTGCCGGCTCCCACGACGTAATCTGCAGCAGCTTCGGGACCATTTTTGACAGGGGCAGTGTAGGATGACGGGCACACCGGTCGGAGGTCCCTTCCAGGAACCGTAGCAACGGCGGTGCACTCACCGGGCTGTGGCAAAGTGCCGGGAGCTAGACGACCCGACTGCGGCGACCCCCAGGGGTCAACGTCCAGCTGCGGGGAGGAAGAGAAGGCAAAATACGACCGTCAGTACCCTACGGAAACCCACGAAAATGACCGGCCTCCACCGAAGCGAAATGCAGGTGAAAACCGCAAAAACGAGGTGGAGGCAACAAATGCTCGTACGGAACGAGATAGAAACTTCAAGGACCCCTCCAATGATAGCGCATAGTAAAAGAAGTTTTAGCCGTACAATTGGGATTGCTTTCTGCTTTTCGATTAAATGTGGGTGCAAAGTGCGGTGCAAATATGCAACCAGGAATGTGGAACGAAGGTGGGCTTGGCAGTACCCATTCGGAATGTGGCGAAGCATAGATCGGCGTATCTGGTCGGCCGGTGGACAGCTGCTTACCATAATATCCCCAGTCATCGCCCATCCCCGAGCCATCGCCCACCCGATTTTTTGGGCCAATATCGATTTCCGAAAAAACACCGAGTCATCGCCCACCCCTTCAAATACCCCAGCGCGGACTCTGCGATCCGCGAACACTCATCCTACCCGAATGACGCGGCCGCGGACCTTACAGTTGGAAGACGTCCGTGACAAAGTAAAACGAAGGAGGGAAAGACACTTCTTTTTGTTTACGCATTTCCTCCGTGAGCGACCCCAAAGTGGTCGTGTATCCGTGCGAAAAGAAAACGATGGAGATAACAAAATAAGAGTTTGTTAACGTAACCGCAGAGTGTTAGGCCAAGGTCTGTCTCCGCCGAAGTAAGGTCACCGCGAACCCGCTCCTTCTTCCCGCCCGTCGCGACCGCGGTTGTGCAATATTTTAGGCAAAGCCAAAGCGTAAATAAAGCTTTGCTGGAACGTCCTACACAGACGTTTGCAGAGCGTCCCAACCGAGCATTGATAGCCCGCCGTGCACAGACGCACGTATGTACGCACCAAAAAGAAAGTTGCGCAAGAGCTTGCAATTGACAAGGCGCCCGACTTGGCCCGACGCCAAAGTATTTGCCAACGCGACCGCCGGCTTTCCGGCTTTCCCAGCATTGCTCTTGGTCGCTTCTTTGGTCCGCTCGCTCGCTCGCTCGTTGCGCCTGGTCGGTTTTTCTATTTTCTTGTAAACTTTTCTTTCTTTTTTTTTTTTTTTTTTACTAACTAGGAGAACATAATAGTGACATTCTTTCACGGAACAAACGTTCGTGCTATATGCAGATCGGCGGTGTTTCTAGCGCGTATGCAAGCAACGGACTTCGCTATAGTAAAATATTCTTTCGTGAGCATTTTTTTTTCTATAAAACAATTAAACTAAATCGAGTTTTGAGTTTGATGTATCTCTTGTGCATCAGCGCTAGATACGCAGAGAAAAATAGGCGTTTTTTTTCGCTTTTTTTCAAGTGTTTGTGCTCACCCACCGAGACATGGCCCACCCCACTTTTTTAACGAATTTCAGGCGGTTGGGGGGTGGGCGATGACTCGTGATATTACGGTAGAATACACACGCTTTGCACCTCTAGGCGATGCGCATAAGAACTAGCAAAAAAATGTACAGAACCATTCGGCGAGCACTAGTTCCGTCCCAAAGCAGGTTCATCCAGATGTCATACTTTTTGCTATCCAGTAAATGCCCCCCCGTCAAAGCTGCCTTTTCCACATGCCAGTGCTAACAATCCCTCTAAGAGAGTGAGTGATCTTTGAGTGTGTGCGTGATGTGTGAGTGAATCAGTGGGACGTTTGAGTGAATGTGTGTGATCTCTAAGTGTGTGTGATGTCAGAGTGAGGGCGCCATGTGTGAGTCTGCAATATGTAAATTACTGTGGGATGTGTGTGATGCCTAAGAGAGTGTGCGTCATGTGGGAAAGAGCATTTGATGTGTGAGCATGTAATGTGTCATGCGTGTGTGCAATGTGTGAATGTGTGCGAGTGTGAAAGAGAGAGGAAGGGAATGCCCCACCCTGAAGTCCTCATCCCTCCCCGGGTGGTGGGGGTGGTGGTGGTGTCCCCCAAACTCCTGGACCCTCGACGCCTGGGGCATGTCAAAGGGCTCCAGTCCCCCACCGGGACGCCCCGTCGACAGGAACCGCTCCATGGCCTGCTGCCCAGGGGGGGGAGGGGGGCGTCACGAGCGTGTCCCGAGCTCGCAAGCGGGAGGGGGGCTCGCACTTAATGCCCTCCTCCCGCTTTCACGCAATGATTGCACCTCATTGTATCGGCTCGTCATAATGTACCCAACCATAATTACGTTCCCGAACCTTTCCTACTCTCCAAAGTTTTCTTCCCCACTGTCCTGTACAAAAACTTTCCACCTAGAGTCACCGAAGAAGCCACACTTTATTGTCACTCCTCAACCCCATTTATCTCACTGGTGCCACCATTGCGGTCCTTAATGCAGAGATGGCACAGCTGGTGATACAGTCGAACCCGGATATATCGAATTCAAAAAAGATAGTAAAATAGCTCGATATATCAATAATTGGATATACAAAAACATGTTAACTTAAGGGGGGACACTACCCAGAAAAAACAACTTCTGCAAAAAAAAGTTGATTTTGAAAAATGTCATATTTACATCCACCAACATCTAGAGTATTCCCAGAAAGTTTCATTAGTTTACACTGCATAGTGAATTTTTTATAAATTTTTTTCGGTCCTTCGATGCTAAAGAAAAGGTAGAGGTTGGAGCACTTTGAACGCATTTTTCTCCATTCCACTTTTTGGCATAAATTTCACTTTAGGAAAACTATCGTTTTGTTATTACGCAACTTGGATTCATTTTTATGAATTTTTCTGGGGTGAAATTGTAAGGGGAAGATAACTATGAGCTTGTATTTTTTATTTTTGTCATTTTTCATGCTCAAGAACTAAAAGTTTGGAAAAAGGATGGAAATCTAAAAAACTGTATTTGTGTTTATGTGACTTTTTTGTCATGAAAGATGGTATAACATAGAAATATAGCTCCATAGTTATCTGCTTTGAACTGTCCTAATGCAATATAACACATGAAAACAACAAATTTATAAGTAATTTGAAAACAATAGTTTTCCTAAGCAGACACGCCCACTTTCGTCTCTGAACGTTTGCAATTTTTTTTGTACTTCACCCAGGTTAACAAAAATCGGCAGAAATGTTCTCAACATCAACAGAAACAAGCAGTGTAAATATAATTCAAATCCGACAAGTGGTTAAAAAATTTACTCTTTTGGGTAGTGTCCCCCCTTAAGCTCCAGTTAAAATTTCCGCGTGTCTCTGCTAATACTGAAGCCCGCGACAAACGGGACCTTACCAAATAGAGCCTCTAAGAGCAGTAAAGCTTATTTGGTGAAGATTACTAACACCGCGCTTTTAAACAACGGTGTTTGCGATCGTTTACCCAAAACCACCACGACAAAACACGAAAATAAATTTAAAAAACGAAAGAACGGAAATACCAAGTCACATAAAAAAAAAAAAAGCTCGAGGTACACCTAAGCACCTCTTTTGAGTTGTGAATGCGAAAGCATGCAAGCTGCTCGTACACTTCCTTCTTTGTCTGCTGCATACTTTTCGTTGCCCATCGGCCGCTGACGAGCGCAGCGGCCAATGGGAGCCCCGTCACTGCGCGCCAGCCAATGGAACCGAAGGCAAAATCTATTAGCTTTCCTTCGCTCCTTTGGGATCGGGGAAACTAGGTGCTGCTTTCGTGCTTCAAACTGATGACATCAGCTCGCTCCTTGGGACAGTTAATGCTTTCGCATTAAAAAACAACTCTTGATCCATAGAATAGAGTGAAGCGAGCAACAAAAAAAAAACCTCACTAAATTCAGTCAGCAAAAGAAAAAGGCAAAAAATAATAAAGTAAAAAACGGGCAAAGCAAATATGGCAAAGGAAAACGAAGATAAAGAGTTCAAAGTGTGATTGCTCAACCATTGTTCGTTGTTCGACTTGAGACTTTTTTCTTTTGCTTATTTTATTTTGGAGTTAAGGAGTCACACAGCGACAGCAGTGTTCAGGGAACCAGAGTACGCTACCATTTCCAAAGCAGGGACTCTGCGAGAGTGTCGGTCCCATTGCTTCTGCCATCCTTCACTTTTTTTTTTACAATTCTTTTTACGTTTATTTTTTGTTCTTTTTACAACTGCTTTTTTGCTGCGTATCTCTGTGGTGGGGCTATCTTGGCTTGGCGGTTTGCCAGCCCCGCAACGCGAGCTATGTACTCTACGTACTCGCCGCGGGGACAATCCGACCGCGGAAGAAGCATCCCGTGCAAGCGTGCGGGCATGCTTTGTTTGCTATATCGAGTGTTTCCGCCATGGGAGGCCATGGGAGTTTGATACAGAAAAACAATGCTCCTATACTATTACATCTGAATTTCAAAGGGATGTATGGACTGTTTGATATAAACAATAATTCGAAATACCCGGGTGTGATATAACCGAGCTCGACTGTAGTTGCTTCTAATTTTTATAGAGACGAAGCATGCAACGCACGCGACTTTCGGTGCGTGCACGATGGAGTTGGCAACGCATGCGGCTTCCGTGTCGGGGAAACTTGTTCAAACCCCGCTCCGCACCGTTCATTTTCTCATTAACCTTCGCTCTTCCAAAACATTCCAGACCATTCACAGCCACCGTCGAGCGTTCCAACACGGAACGCGTGAAACGTACCGCGCCTACAAAAGTGACGGTGACGGGCCACTTTGGGACCCTCGCCCTTCCATTGATGACACGACATGCTGCTCGTTGCCAGGCACGTAGCGAGGGGGAGGCTCATAGGTCCCCCCCTCAAAATCTTCCATTTTGCTGGAGCCTCCCCTCCCCGCTCCCCCTCATACAGCCTCTTGTCATGGGCAGGCCCCCCCTCCGAAACAAAATCCTGGCTACGTGCCTGCTCGTTGCATTCCACTCATACTGTAATATACCGAAGAAGTGCCCACTTCATTGCCCCTGAAAACTGGGTAATCTAGACATGGTTGTTTGGCCGGTAAAATCCAGCGACTAACGGATAATCTGTAGTGTTGGCGAGTATGGGAAATGTTAATAGTGGACACTTGGACAAAGTGGGCGCCTCCGTGGTATTTTACGGTATCTACATTTGTCATTTGTTCATTAAAAATGCCCACCTGCTTGGGCCAGAAATCTTGACTGAAGTGTTGCGAACTAAATCAATAAACAAAAGATGCGCGGTACTTCCTTTTTGCACTTTGCAAGCGCAAGTTTGTCTCATTAAACATTTGTTTTAAGTTCTATGTTCGTCCCTCCGCGACACTACGCTCCCAGCACTCTTCTTCGTGCCTCTAACGCGTCCTCGACCGGCGAGCTCACCTGCCCTATCTCGCCCACGGGTCGAAAGTGGTCCCAAATGGCAAAAAGAACTGTGTTGCGAGAGACGGCAGGTCACAACGTCGTCGCCGTCCCAACAGTGGGTCGTCAAAATGCCGCCGAAAAAGGCGAGCAGACGCAAACGTCGCCGTCGTTCCTTCAATCGTCTGGGTGCATAGCAACTCACGGGCGAGAACTGCGGAGAGGACCCGGGTGGGCCCTGGTGGTGGTGGTGTCCCATGTGGGGTGCCATAGGGGTGGCAAAGGGGTCCCCCCTGCCCACCATGGCCCCGCCGGGCGGCCCAAACTGGCGCTGCTGCTGCCCCGGGGGCGGACGCAGGAAAGGCTCCGGCATCTGCTGCTGCTGCGGGGGGCCGGGCATGGTGCCGGGGGGACCGCCGCCAAATGGGTGGCTAGCACCTCTGGGTGCACCCTGGTGGCCGGCAAAAGGGTGGCCTCCCGTCGGACGGTGCCCTGAATGCGAGACGTGGGCGCTTTAAAGGCAGCTGCACGTGCTTGCGGTCACAACTGCCCGTCGCTCTACAGAGTGAGTCAGATGGATTAATAGCCCTTTGAAGAGACTGCATAAATCCCTTCCTCCAAGTTACAGAGGTGACCGAAGACAGCATTTTGTGCACCAAAATTCAGGGAATAAGACTTGCCTCTACGGCCCATAAATCTGACATTTATGGTGACCGTCCGCTAATGAAAGGTGTCTGACCGGCGCAACAATCGACGGGTGAAGGAAGGTAGGAGTGAGGGTGCAGGCACGGATCCCTGACCACAGAAAATGGTTTGGGTCAGACAATGCGTGGGCTTCTTTCAAGTAATGCATTTCCAAATGGACACAAAACCAACCAATGGCCGTCTCGGCTATTGTTGACGGCTGCCGCCATCTCGCGGTTGTGACGCCGCCCAGATGTCGTTCACGCGCAGATGGCTGCCGTAGGTAGCAAATTCACCCTCTCCATTTTTTACTCTTTAATCGAGTAAGGCTTTTTTTTAGAAATTGCGTTGCACAAAACGCGCAATCTTTGGCCACCTCTGTACAAAATCTTAGCTCGCTGGATTAAGAAACCAATTTATACGGTCCCTTCGAAAGGCCGACAATCCCCGACTCCGTGCAGTATTCTTATTCTGGTCGCGTCACTTCGCCGCTATGGTTGTGTGGGAAGTTACTGCCTCCCAGGCAACTTAGTATTTTTTAAGGAATAGGAGTTACGGGGACTCCCCAGCTGCATTCGCCGCGTCAGCGTTGTGCCAGGCAGAAAACCGTTTAACGTATGCTCGTGAGTTCACAACCCTTCGATGCTGGCTCTCGCCAGGTGGCACCGTCTTATACTTCTACGATCGGCGAGGAACGCCGTTACATTCCTCACTGTAGAACTCGATTTGCGTGCACTTGTAAAGCAACCTATGACTCACATAGATACCTGCCTCCACATAGTGTTAGGAAAAGACGTTCACTCGTGCGTGCAACATGTTCCCTTTCCTACCAACCTCAGTCTCTGCAATACTGTGCCTCTCGCAATCAAGCCAATAGACGGCGAACACGCATGAAAGCGGCCATTACGGCGCGCAATGTAATGGTCCTCGTTTCTTCGTGCTGTCCGGTGAAAAGCGGATCTTCCGTTGCGGAGCACCTACCTTCGCCCTGCATCCCGGGGGCTCCGACGTGGGTGGCCCCGTTGCGAAACTGCGGGTTCACGAAGATCTTGCCCCTGGGTCCCGCGTCCGGGGCCATGCCGGGGAACCCCGGGTGGCCGGTGGGCACTGCAAAGCGGGGCCCCATGCCCTGGTGGCCGCCCCCGAACTGAAGCCAGGGCTCAATGTGCTGCTGCTGCTGATATGGGCCCGGCCGGTGGGCGCCCATGCCGCCCCGCTGCACGAGACAAGCTGAGGTCAAGGACGGGCGAGTTTCCCGGCGGGCTGCAAGCTAGAGTCTTGCGACTGCCCTGGGAGGCAGACGCTCAAGTCACTGGATCCAGGGAAAGCAGTGCCAAGCTCCCTGTATGGTCGCCATCTTGGTCCGTAAAATGAGCAAATTCTCCTCGACCCCTCCGCTTTTGGTAAGCCGATCTAAATTCGCTGGCGACGGGTAGCTTTATGGAGACGTTTCTTGTAGTCCGACATTTTGTTATCCACAGACCGGCGAAACAAGCATACATCTTCGTACCATTACCACCAGTGCTTGGAGGCACTGAAAATAATTTTCCTGTTTTAAAATATGCAAGAACAATAGAATTGTCGGAGAACTATGGAGATGGGCATAATTGATAAGTTAATTGCATACACAGTTCCAAAGACGCTTATATTGGAGAGGAACGCTTCCAGCACAATGATGCTCCACAATGATCTTGGCACGACAGATTAGCCAATCGCCTTGCGAGGTTTTAGTCGTCTGTATGCTAGTATCTGTTTGTGTTCGGCTAGCAGGTAGGGAAGGCAATGGTGCTACTTTCCCACGATCCAGTGACTTTAGCAGACGCGTCCCACCGGATGGCACCAACCGAGTGCTGCGTTACAGAACGTAATTGGGGTTCCATGTTTCGGGTATACGCTGATATTTTCATATGCGCGACCAATTTTAGGCTGTGCCTGCGTCGTCTGGAATCCGCTCCCTCAAAATAGAATATACGCTCACTCAAAATCGGTATACGCTCACTCAAAATACAGCGAAAGCTCGCACTGCAGAACCGAGGGATCCTAAGCTCAATCCCCACCCCTGCTCGCTTACGCCAGTAAGCACGCTAACCGACCGGTATCCCTAGTGTGCACACCACTTGCTCGGTTTGTTCTGACAGCTTCTGGTTGCCGAACTTCACGATAATCCTACGGGGCGAACAAAGGGGCGAGCTCATGGAAGGTACCGACAATACGATGGCCAACGACGCACGAGAAGGACACCATGTTTGTTTTGCAGAGAACTAGAAAACCTGCGACAAATACCAAAAAAACCCGAAAGAGCCAAAGAAGAAATGTTACAAGATTGATACATCATGACTAATATTACAGTAATATTGTGAAACCGAAACTAAAAAAGGACAAGTTCTTATTCTTTAATTGGTTAAGTTATACCCATCAAATTGTTTGGTTCGAACTATATTCAGCTGCGCAGAGAAACAGCGCACTTCGGCTCTGTACCCTTGGCTCCATTGCCACAGAAAGTTGATGCCAAGTTTAGCACCCTATTACATTTCTTTTGCCGAATAAATAATAAAAACAAGATTCATGCATTTCCCACGTATCCTGTCATGAATAAAGTTTCTTTTATTCAAACTGTTTACGACTGCAACATGCTGCCTGATTTACTAGTAGAGCTGCCCTCTGTTTACTCAATTTTTAATCAAATAATATTGTTGAAAAGTTGCTGTTTATCTTTTGTACACAGTTGAACCTCGATTTAACGAAACCCGATTTTACGAATTTCCCGATTTAACGAACAAATTCCGATTCCCTGCGCGGTCTATGCGCGAGGTCTCCCTTCCTCGATTTTATAAAGTTCCCAATTTAACTAAATAATTAGCGGGTTCCGGTGACTTCGTTAAATTGAGGTTCAACTGTAGTTTCGTATTCCTGTTTTCTAAGCTTTCGATGATATTGTCACGGTTGGTGACCAAAAGAAAACAGGAAATAAACAGGGAGAAATAAACGTTTAATGTGGCGAACTTGTGCCGAAAATAAGGAAGGAAACAGAAGAAAGCAGAGCGTCGCGGGCGTCGAAGTCGGCGTGTCAGCAGAATCGAGCGCTAGGGCGAGACTGACTCGACAAGGTCGCGGGCGGCCTCTTATCTAGTGTGTGCCGCTATCTCGAAGATTCGGCGAAAGCGGTTCGAGCGTCGCGTGATCGGGGCGAGAATGAATACGCACTTTCTAGAAAACAAAAGCAGGGATAAATGATAGAAGTTACGTGCGGTACATGAATAAACGGGAACTTTCTGGAGGACCGTGACCGAGCGTTGCTTTCTCAGCCTTGCGCGCGGCATTACTCCCCCCTTTAAAAGTGCATCGCCCCGATGCAGTGTAAAACAAATCAAAATAAAAAAGAACGATAAACTAAAGAGTCTTTTGGAGCACAAAAGGTCCACAGTCCTATCGAGCGTAGTACGGCTTCAGGCGCACGACGTGGACGACCTCAGGTCGTGGTGGGCGGCGTGACGATGTTCGTGTTCCGTCGGGCATCACCTCGTAGTTCAGCTCGCCGAGGCGACGAAGTACCTTGTATGGTCCAAAGTACCGTTTCAGCAGTTTCTCACTGAGGCCGCGGCGACGGATGGGCGTCCATACCCACACCCTATCTCCGGGCTGGAAGTGGACGTCCCTGCGACGAAGGTTGTAGCGGCCGGCGTCGACGCGTTGCTGGTCTTGAATCAGGAGTCGGGCGAGCTGGCGAACTTCTTCGGCGCGTTGAGCAACCGCCTGGGTGTCGTCGCTCTCGTTGTCAGATGGCTCAAGGGGCAGCATGGCGTCCAGCATGGTCGTTACCTTCCGACCATGTACCAGCTGGAAAGGGGTGAATCCAGTGGTCTCTTGAACCGCCGTATTGTAGGCGAACGTGACGTAGGGCAGCACCTCGTCCCACGTCTTGTGCTCTACGTCGACGTACATAGAGATCATATCGGCGATTGTCTTGTTGAGTCGCTCCGTCAGCCCGTTGGTCTGCGGGTGGTACGCAGTTGTACGACGATGGCTGGTGTGACTGAGTCGGAAGATTTCTTGGGTCAGTTGTGCCATGAACGATGATCCGCGATCTGTAATCAGAACTTCTGGAGCGCCGTGCCGGAGGACGATGGACTCAATGAAAAACTTGGCAACTTCCACAGCAGTCCCCGAAGGAAGAGCTTTCGTTTCGGCGTACCGCGTGAGATAATCTGTGGCGACGATGATCCAGCGGTTCCCCGACGTCGAAGGCGGAAAAGGACCAAGTATATCCATTCCGATCTGCTGGAAGGGTGCAGTTGGAGGAGAAATAGGCTGCAGGAGTCCGGCCGGCCTCGTCGGAGGTTTCTTGCGTCGCTGGCACTCGTGGCATGATCGTGTGTACAGGTGGACGGTCTTGGGGAGCTTGGGCCAGTAATACTTTTCACGAATACGGGCCCGTGTCCGGCTGTATCCAAGGTGTCCGGACGTCGGGTCGTCGTGACATGCTTGAAAGATCTCCCCTCGAAGGTCGGTCGGGATTACCAGCAGCCACGGCGAGTTGTTGTTCCCGAAGTTCTCTTTGTAGAGTACACCTTGTCGGATGGCGAAGGTCGGCAGTACTCGTGAGAAGACACGTGGCACGGTACTCCTGCCCCCTTCCAGGTGCTCGATTAATGCGCGCAGCTCAGGATCGTCCCGTTGACGTCGTGCCATATCGTCGGTGTTCACTGCTCCTAGGAAGCACTCGTCGTCATTGTCGTCGCTGCAGCCGGAAGGGGTTTCGACGGGGGCTCTGGACAGGCAGTCGGCGTCGCTGTGCTTGCGGCCTGACTTATAGACCACTGTCATGTTGAACTCTTGTAGTCGAAGACTCCATCGAGCGAGGCGTCCTGACGGCTCCTTCAGGTTCGCAAGCCAGCAGAGCGAGTGGTGGTCCGTGACTACACGAAACGGGCTCCCGTACAAGTACGGACGAAACTTCGTTATTGCCCAGACGACCGCAAGGCATTCTTTCTCAGTCGTGGAGTAATTTTTCTCCGCCTTGGACAATGTCCGACTTGCGTAGGCGATGACTCGCTCGATGCCTTCTTGCACTTGGACTAGTACTGCGCCCAGTCCCGCGTTACTTGCGTCCGTGTGAATTTCTGTTTCCGCATCCTGGTCGAAATGTCCAAGCACAGGAGGAGTCTGGAGTCGTTGTTTCAGTTCGTCGAATGCCTGCTGTTGCTCCTCGGCCCATTCGAACTTCTCGGCGTCCTTCGTGAGATTCGTAAGTGGTGCGGAAATCCTTGCGAAATCCCGAACGAAGCGTCGATAATAGGCACAAAGTCCAAGGAATCTTCGCACGGCCTTCTTGTCTGTCGGCGCTGGAAATGCCGCGACGGCGCGAGTCTTCTCGGGGTCTGGGCGGACGCCTTCGTTACTAACCACGTGGCCAAGGAACTTCAGTTCGTCATAGGCGAACCGGCACTTTGACGGCTTGAGTGTGAGTCCGGCGGTCTGAATGGCTTGAAGAACAGCTCGGAGTCGTCTCAAGTGCTCGTCGAAGTCAGCTGAAAATACTACGACGTCGTCAAGGTAGACGAGACAACTCTGCCACTTCAGCCCTGCCAGCACGGTGTCCATGACACGCTGGAAAGTTGCTGGCGCCGTGCATAGTCCGAAGGGCATCACCTTGAACTCGTACAGTCCATCCGGCGTGACGAAGGCTGTCTTCTCTCGGTCCCGTTCGTCGACCTCGATTTGCCAGTAGCCGCTCTTCAGATCCATCGATGAAAAGTATCGAGAGTGGCGCAGCCGGTCTAGAGTGTCGTCGATGCGGGGGAGTGGGTAGACGTCTTTCTTCGTAACCGTGTTGAGCTGCCGGTAGTCCACGCAGAACCGAAGAGTTCCGTCCTTCTTCTTAACCAGCACGACTGGAGAGGCCCATGGACTGCTTGAAGGTTGGATTATGTCGTCATTCAGCATCTCTTGAACTTGCTGATGGATCACCTCCCTTTCCTTAGCGGAGACTCTGTACGGCGATCGATGCACAGGGCGCGCGTCGTCCTCGGTAACGATGCGGTGCTTGGCAACCGCGGTCTGGCGCATCTTCGACGACGTCGCAAAGCAGTCGCGGTATTCGGCGAGGAGGTTAGCCAGCTGACGCCGTTTAGGGTCCGGAAGCTTAGGGTCAATGTCGAGCTGCGCTGGCGACGTACTGTCTTGCTGGGGCGGCGAGGATTCGTCAGTAATCGCGGT